TCGCTACCCGAAGGCGGTGAGCTAGTTCTGATCTCGAACTTTTCGCAGCCTCGCTCGTCTCCCATCTTCCTGCGCCGCCCTTGGTAACCCGAGTGACAACCGGGCCGGTATATTTATTAAGTCCGTCAATACCATCATGAATGGTTGGCTAAATTTCACCGTCTCCAGCCTTCCTTTCTCAACCGGGCTTGTGACAGACAACCACGGAGTTTAGAACTGTTTATAGTTTAGATTAGTTTTTAGGGTTACGAAGGCGCTGATTAACGGATATTCGTTTATTTTGGATATTACAAACCATAGAATTTTATTAGTTAAAGCCAATTGCGAGGCGGTTTCAACTGCCGTTTATTTTTTTGTCTCGCAGACTTGAGCTTCACTGTCTTCAACGTTCAAGATTTTTGCTAACATCCATCTTCTGTAGTAGGGAACCGAGAGTGGAAACAGTTGCCCCCATTGTTTGCTGTCGCCAGGATTTTTGACTGGTAGATTGGGCAAGTAGTAGTTCCTTCGTCTTCCTATCCGGAGTCGTTCGCAACACGTGCTCAAGCCATCGCAGCTGTGACTTTTTAGTCTGAAGTAGCAGCGGTTGTACGCCAAGGCTTTCGTGAATTTCTGTACTCCGTAACATATAGAGATGCGTGAGCCCAGTGATTGGTTACCAAGAGTCCAACTCTGTCCTGTCAGTAGTTGACGGCCTCATGAAATAGCTCTTTCTCTTTTCCGCTGACTGAGGATATGTTCCAGTTCTCGCACTGCGTGTGTCGTTCCGTTGGAACCATACTGAAATACTATAATTGCATTGCACTGTTTACGCCATTAAAATCGTTTAGTGGTTTTGTTACTGACTCGTATCTTGATCTTCATCTAAATCTTCAGCCGTCGCCGTGGTGTACTTTCCCGTTTTTAGAAGGTATAAAGCAGGTTCTGATCGCCGACTTTTCGCAACAGCCTTCACAACTCTTGGTAATCCGAGCGACGACCCAGCATCTACAGAATTCGAGTGTGGCTGTACATTGATAGACAGGTGAATAAGTTTTACTGGAGAACTCAACCCTGCCCCAAACGCTGCTGCTTTCTCATCCAAACTGGGGTCCGGCTTCAGCGGAATTTAATTCAAAATTTAAATATTTTTTTTAGTTTATTCGGTTTCTTTGCAAGATTTCCAAGCTTAGGTTGCACAGCTATTAACTAACAACTATGCACAGTATTAACTAACAATTTTTACAATATTTTTTTAGTAACGGTACTCCTCAAAAACCACCAAGGTTCAGTTTCAATTATGAAAAATTTCCCATCGACTTGAACGAACGGTATTCAGTGGAAATTCCCGTGCTTTCGATTCCCCAAGGCGTTGAAGAGCTGCTGAATACGGAAATACCTGCATTTCTGCTTCCAGAAAGTACTAGTCTGCATCAGAATGTTCATTGTGGCTATAGCGACGCGCCTTGGCTTAGCGGCACGATGCAAAAGTTAAAGTCTGACAATGTTGATACAGCATTAGATGCCCTATTAAAGGTACGAAATTTTACTCTTAAATCGATCTGTTCAATCGTTTGTCATCAAATAATCTTTTAAATACCTAGCTGACTTAAAATTTCATGTTTCTACAAGGCTTTGCCAAACTACGGAATTATATAAAATTTTAACTCAAAATTTGTAATTTTATAAAATATCGGAAAGTGATCAGTGAGGGTGGGGAGGTAGAGCAATACGTTAGTAGATTGCTGTTTACGCTAGTCTGCCTAGTTTAGACTCAGCATGCGGAGTAAGATTTTTCTTAACCTGAGTC